GGGCACCGTGCACCACGGCCCGGACTGTGGCTTCCTCACGGGGCTGGACAGCCTGCGCCGCATCCTCATGGAGATCCTGTGCGAGGACTAGGAGGAATGTGGTGCGTCAGCCCGAAACTTGGATCTCTTTATTTTCCCCGTGATACTGCATGGCACCCCCCCCCCTTTCCCCTCCCCCTTTTAACACCCTCTTCCCCCTTCCCAGCGGTTCTGGAGAACATCCCCGTCTGATCGCATAGTGATTGATTGAATGGTGCGTCAGCTGACTTCTGAGTGGTAGACAGTCTCGTCAGCGACGAGCTCGATCTACCAAGTCTTAAGTGTCCTTGTTGAAGGATATGTTGGTTTAGATGTTTGGAGAAGCACATATCCGTATTGTGTGCTGTTCGTTTTCAGATTGACAGAATGGAACAGCAAAAATCAGCTTTGGTTCCATTATAAGCCTAATGTGTGAGTAACTGAAGGATCTGGCTGCAAATCAACCCGTTATCCTTCGGTCTTATTACCTATTGACCTTGACAATTCATGTAGAATTTTAGATTCCCATTTTGAAGCAAGCCTGTTTCCGCTTGCAGTGACTTAATTGGTTTCCTTTCTAATATCTTTTAAAATGAATACTCAATTTTTGACAAAGTGGTGCGCTCTTTTAGCATTTGTTTTGAGCAATAAAAACTTGTTGTGTTGTTCTGCATTCAAAAATTTAATAATGTTACTTTTTACAGATCACTTTAATTTTTGTTATCTGTGAAATTTGTCGTTACTTTTAATGAAACAATATGGTTGTGCGTAACTTGTTAATTTGGTTGTAATGAAGTATGTCATTTTGTCTCGCCAAGGAGGTAGTCCCTTTGATTTTATTGGTGATCAATGCCATATTTGCCCCAATCAATTTTCAGTGAGGGCTTTTGAATTAACGAGGAAAGAAAATACAAGGAGATACTGTTCAAAGTTTACCTTGCCTCCTTTCTAACACAAGATTTGCTCCCTATTAGTTTCTCAAACTTCGACAGAGGATGTGCATCGAGTATTATTTCAACATTTGTTATTTTCCAAAATTCAAATTAATTTTGTGTTCATGATAAGAAAAGTATCCGTAAATCAGATCTCAATTGAAGACCTTGTTGTGTTGATGATTTTATCACAGTTTCATGAAAGTGTAATGTCTTGGCTACATTCTTATTCTGTCATAGTATTTTAAAACCATTGTTTACGTTCTTCAGTTTTGCTTGGAACTTAATTTAGCAGCTCTGTTAGAGCTGTTAGAACAGGGTAGTCTTGCTTGAATGCTGTTAATTAAATTGATATGGTCTCAAGTAAATTTGAGGCTGAAATAGTTTTAGTTGATGCTTAGACATCATCTCATCTCTCATACAGTCAATTCAAACTGCATCAAAGTATTTTAAATGAGAAATTTTCTCCAGAAAAGATCACTATCTAATTTCTGGTGAGTTAAAGTTTTATGAGAACCACCAAATCAATCCTTTTTGTGGAAATTATCTAAATTGGCAATGTTCTAGATTCTGTATCGTTACATTTGGAGTGCTTAGCAATATTTGGAGTAAATTTGTATTATGATTGTTTTATGTCTATAAAAGAACCTCTGTAAATGCAAATTCTGAACCTAATTTCTTGGCAGTAGCAGTCTTATTTTGACTTTATTTAAGATATTCCTAGGAACCTGGCAGTATTCTTGTACAAAAGTCTAGTTATTTTTATAGAACATTGTATATTTATACTGTAGATAGTTTTTGTATGCCTTCTTTGTTCTTTTTTTGCCCTTATTTAATTGTTTATTATGCAAAAGTAATTGTGTGAATCATTTCCATGAGCATTCTTTTACATAGCTCAACTCAGTTATATCCCCTGTTGAATTGGATTTACTGAAGTGAGGTCATGTTTTGTGTAAAACCTTCTGTTCTCTTGAAGTTAGATTTTTGTGGAGTGTTCATTCCTTTTAGAAATCTTTGGTAGTGAAGTTGACCAAGCCAAGCATATTTTTATGTTTCATAGTTAGAGTGACTTCCACAATCTGTTTATATGTATGTGTGATTGTGTTTCTTCCAACACTGTGATATTTATTCTGTCAGTGTATCTTTGTCCTGTGTTTTAGCCTAGGTTCTGGAGTAAATTTCATGTATTTTCTTTCTTATTTTTGCATTTAAGTGTGATATACATCTTGAGCAAAGGCACTTATTTACAACTGTTGTTGCACGAATCTCCTCCAACCTTTTTTAAAAGTGCAGACCAACGTTGGTCAAAGTGTGATTATGAAGCTCTTTGATGTCTTTTTCTTTCCGATTTGAGTTTGAAAAAAAGGAAATCAAAGAAATTTGATTGTTATTTTTCTGAAGGGAGCCGTTCTAAACAGCAGCCCTTCTAGTTGTCTTGGTGATGAATTGACTTTATTTTGCAATTAATAGTGTTTTCTCATCACTTTTATTACTGCCATCAGGACATCAGTAGGCACAGAAAATAGTTACACTATTATATGTTGAAAAAGTTTGTTAAATTTACAGTTGCTGTGACATGTCTGTGTTCACTACTACGTGGGCCATGTTTAGCATTAACTGTGATATTTGAAACTTTCTAACAATCTGGTAATGAGTTACCAATGTTGCATATGTCTTTTTCTTGTGTCCTTAGTGTTTTATGGAGTGTATTTGATGTACAATGTGATGGACCACATTAATAAATAGTGAGCCTTGTCCTCATTCTTTTTTCCTTCGCCTTTTTAGTTGTTGAAATTACCGGTCATCAATCAGAAATTTATTCTGCTTTACCAACTTTCTGTTTTTTGGTATGAGCCGGCTTTGTTCCTACCAGGACGCATGAAATTTTCCTTTAGGACCTGAAAGATGGTTGATAATTTGCTGAAAGGTATTGTTGGTTCTTCTGGATGTACACTAGTATAAACATGTATGGAGTATTTTGAATGAAAATAAAGGAAAAAATCTTAAAAAGAATTGCCTCTTTTATTTACAAAACTAAACCAGAATTTC